CTTTTTTTGTTTGTTTGTGGCTTTTTTTTGGGGGGGGAGGGTTTCCGGTACTGGGAGTTGAACTCATGACCTTCCACTTTCCAGGCAGGCTCTGTGCTGCTGAGCTAAATCCCCAGCCCCTCCTTTCTGGTTTGTATATCCCCTTTTTTTTTGCTTTTTTTCTTTCTTACTATTCATTTTCTTTCTAATTCTTTTTTTTTTTTTTTCTGGCTAGGACTTTCAATACTATGCCAAAAACATCCTTCTCTTGTTGCTGATTGTAAGGATTTCACCAACTGAGAATGTTAGCTGTGGGCTTCTTATATCTGGTCTTTATTGTATTGACTTACATTTCTTCTGTAACTGTTTTTAATTATAAAAGGATGTTGAATTTTTGTTGTTCTTTTCTGCATCTAGCAAAGAGATTATATGATTATTGTTTTTCATTCTATTCATGTGTATCAGGTATACTGATTTGTATCTCAGGGATCAATCCCATTTGATCATGGTGAATGACATTTGCAATGTGCTCTTGAATTCAGATTGCTAGTATTTTAAGGATTTTTCCATCTGTGTTCATTGGTCATTATAATGTTCTTTACATTGGTCTGTAATTTTATTTTCTTGTAGTATCCTTGTCTGGCCGTTTTTAATGAAATTGCAGGATACAAAATTAATATACAAAAATCATTAGCATTTCTAAATATCTAGAACAAACTATCTGGGAAAAAAATCAGAAAATAATACTATTTGCAGTAACATAAAAATTTTAGAAATAAATTTAACTAAGGAGGTGATAGATCCATACACTGAAAACTATAAAACATTAGTAAAAGAAGCTGAAAACCCAAATAATACAACTAGAAGAAAAGATAAGAAAGAGCTTCTTAACCTTGGTCTTAGCAAAAATTTGTGGACAAGATCCCAAAACACAGATAATAAAAGCAAAATTAGATATGATTGTGTTCAAGATTTCTTAACAAAGGAAATAATCAACAGAGTGAAAAGCCATCTGAGGAATAATAAAATGTCTGCTAAACATACATCTGATAAGGGGCTACTATCTAACATACATAAGGAATTCAACTCAAATCAAATGACCCAATTTAAAAAGGCAAGAACTTGAATAGTCATTTCTCAAGACACGAAATGTCCAAGATTTTTGCAAAGAGGTGCTTAACATCACATTTCAATGGGAAATGCAAATTAGAACCATAAAATATCATCTCATACTCATTAGAAAGGCTTTTATCAGAAAGACAAAAGGTACCAAGTGTCAGTAGAGAAAAGGGAGTCACTGCACGCTGTTGGTGATAAATCAGTGCAATAATTTTGGAAAACAGTATGAAGGTTCCTTAAAAACTTAAAAATAGAACTATGACATCATCCAGCAATTTATTTTCTTCCTATGTGTCGAAGGGAAATAAAATCAGTATGTTGAAGAGATATCTCAGCCAGGTGTGGTAGCACACACCCATAATCCCAGTACGCCAGAGGCTGAGGCAGGACTAAGAAGAGTTCAAGGCCAGCCTAGACTACATAGAAAAATGGTCTCCAAAACAAAAAAAAAAAAAGAAAAAAAAAAAAGCCAACAAAGAAATGTCTTAATGGCCATGTATATTGCATTATTTACAATAGCCAGTGTACGGAATCAATGTAAATTGATGAATGAGTAGAGAAAATATGGCATATTTATGCATAATGAAATACTACTCAGTCTTTTTTTTTTGGAACTTGAAGACACTATGCTGATACAAGCCGGGCTCAGAAAAACAAATACTGCATGATCTCCCATGTATGTGGAATCACAAAAAGTCAAAACTGTGGAAATGTGGAACTGGAGATGCGTGTGACTCTGCTGGAGGAGACGAGGGATGAAGAACGGGGAGATATAGACAGGAAGAATTTGTGGAGATCTACTGTACAGTATGATGATGACATTGTCGGTACTATAGTGGTAATGTGAAAACTTCTAGGAAAAGATTTTAAATGCTTTCACAACAAAAATGAGGTGACAAGTTAACTAGCTTGAGTACATCATTTTCTAATGCATACATATAAAGTAACATTATACTTCGTATATTTGTCAAAAACATTAAAAATGATGAAAGACATTTCCAGACATACAGATGCTGAAGAAATTAAAGATCACTGAGATTCATACTATAAGAAAAATATGTACACACAAGATAGCTAAGATAGCTGTACTACTGACTTCTATTGCATTAATGAAAGGAACAATTAATGTTTTATTGTTTGATCAATCTTACATGCCTATATTTGTTTAACTGAGTAACCAATGTGAAGATAACAATATGTAATACAACAATTATTAATTTCCTATCACCTTGGGGGCTGGGGATTTAGTTCAGCGGCACAGCACCTGCCCAACAAGCGCAAGGTCGTGAGTTCAATCCCCGATACTGGAAAAAAAACTAAAAAACAAAACAAAACAAAAAAAGAATTTCCTATCACCTTGTCTGAAATTCTGTATTGCTTTTATTGTTCTGTCTGTTAATATGTGTTCTTTTATACTTAAAAAAAAAGAAAATGGAAGGAAGTCCTTCAGGCACAAGAGAAATGTTAAGATATATTTTTACACAGACATGAAATAGCAACTGTATAAATGCGTAAGAAAACTTTTATTATGCAAATCTTTGATAAACATACTAGTGAGTGAATACATACATGTATGGAACATAGCAATGAGGGACAAAATAATGAGCTTTATTTATATAAATGAGTATACTACTTGAAGCTACAATAAAACAAGTTTGAGAGATATTTTATAAACCCCCAAACAACTAGAATCATTACACTGAATTAGCTAATAAACTAGATAAAAATAATTATAAAAATATTCAATCCAGCAGGAGGATCGTAGCCAAGTTTGAGACCAGCCTGGGCTATAAAGTGAGCTCAAGGCCAGCCTGAACTGCATAGCGAGACCATCTCAAAAGGAAAAAAAAAATTTAATCCAGAATGCAGAAAATGGGGACAAAAACCAGATAAATGAAATTGAAGACAATTATTAAGATGGTAGATTTAAATCTAACCATGTCAGTAACCACATAAGTGAAAACGATCACTTTCTGCAAAGAGACTATCAAAGTAGATTTATTTTTGTTTTCTTTTGAGACAGGGTCTCGCTATGCAGTTCAGACTGGCCTTGAGCTCACTTTGTAGCCCAGGCTGGTCTCAAACTTGCAATGATCCTCCTGCCTCAGCCTCCCAAAAGCTGGGATTACAGGTGTGTGCCACTAGCCAAAATGGATTTAAAGATAACTGGATTACATGCTGATTCAAAGAAATACATGTCTAGCAGATATTGTGAAATAGGAAAAAAAATGTTCAAATGGAAGGGGAACTAGGAAGGCAGGAGGGGAAAAGGGACAAGAAAATGTAAGAAAGAAAACATGGAAACAAAGCTTTTGTAAATGAGAAGATAAGGATTTGGAGTACATTAAATCTTGTTCTGAAATGACTAGTTGATATTTGTGCATATTATTTAATAGTTATATTTTTATAGAAAAAATGAGGGGAAGAGGGATTCAAGCGAGGGTAGGGAAATGAGGGGAAAAAAGAATCAAGATGTATCATGTACAGGTAAAAATACCCTATGATGTGATCATTATGTACACCTAAAATGTACCAATAAACTTTAAAAAAATATGTGTCGGGCCAGGGATATAGCTCAGTAGCACAGCACCTGCCTCGCAAGGGTGAGGTCGTGGGTTCAATTCCTGGAACCAAAAAAATAAAAATAAAAAAAATAAAAATCTAAAGGAAAAAGTATGTGTCAAACACAAGGGAAAAAATACCAAAAAAAGTGAGCGGACAGGAAGGTCATAGTATACCAAATATTTAAAAAACATTACGTATTGCAAACATGTACCAAAAAAAGGAAGGTGATTAAGAGATGGAGGGAGGTAAAGAAGGGGAAGGAGATGAAAAAAAGGAATTAAAATATCACACTTACATGTTCCAATTTCTCACAAGGAATGTAAACATTCTAGACTACAAACGTAGTAATAGAAAAAAGTGCCTATATCCCAGTACTTGGGAGGCTGAGGGAGGAGGATCCCTGCAAGTTTGAGACCAGCCTGGGCTACAAAGTGAGCTCAAGGCCAGCCTGAACTGCATAGTGAGACCCTGCCTCAAAAAGATAGATAGAAAAATAAATAGATAGATAAATAAATAAATAAATAAATAAATAAATAAAAAGGGAGAGCTGGGAAGATAAACAACTGGAATGCCTGTTTTACTATCAGGCAGTACAGATTCCTTTAGCACAAAGACATGCAAGTATACAAGTCATTTAAAAATATAGAGAGGACGTAACAATCCCCAAGGTTTACATAGCTTTCAGCAGTTTCAAAATGCAGAAAACAACAAAAAAAAACAAACGAAAAAAAATGCAGAAAACGCAAAAACTGATAGAAGTGCATACCACTTAGAAAGAAAACAGGGATGGTACACTAACACACACTTGAATGAATCTCCAAATGTTCAGTGCAAGCAACCAGACAAAACTTCATTAAGTTCTCACAAAGGCAAAATAATCTACAATCAAACATTAGTGATATCAAGATGAAGGGGCAGGAAAAACGTACATTACCATATGGTGGCAGATTCATGCCTACTTGTGTAAGAAAATTTACTATGCTTTTAGATAGTCAGTTTTATCAAGATGCTAGTTTCAAGACCCAGTTATACAAGTGCTGAATCACGCTACTGAGAGAAGACAATTCTGGACCCAGGTAGAGCCAGGGAATCTCACAAGCTCTCCACAAAGACACAAATCCATTCAGTGCCTTCATGCAAATGCAGCTGGTTACAACTTCCTAAATCAGTTATTTCTAGGATTAAGATACTTATAAAAAAATCAACGGCACACATTATTAAGCTTATACTGACTTTATTAATAACAAGCAAAATTATTTTAACATGTATATACATTTTCTTACTTTGACACATAAAATATAGAAATATTTACATACATATAAAATACTGTTTTAAAATTATCTTCAGAAATAAAGACAGCAATATTTTACAAATAACACATCTGGGGAAACAGACACATTGAAAAAAAGGTTTAAAACAAGTGACAGAAGAAAAACAAGTGACAAACATTTAAATTAACAGAATCCGGAAGTTGATAGCTGAGTTGGTATTAATTTGATAAAGCAAATATAATGCTAATAGGTAGCAAACCAGATTTAAATTTAAGATTGTCTAGACAAAATTAGACAGACTGTACCATGAAACTGAATCAATTTTCTTTTACCCTCTAAAGCATAAATCTTTGGTAACGGTTTTCTCTTTTGTATAAATATTTAAAATTTCTGATTTGTATTGAGAATTTTAAGCTTCTTCACAGCAAGTTGTAAAATATTTTAAGAGGCCGTCTATCCTCTTTTTGGGGAAGAAAATTTCAGGTATCACAGTGATGAACATTAAAAAACAATTACTTTTACTATCTATACTAAAAACCTAACATTTTTAATTACCCGTCATGATAATTTACAATTGATTTATTCAGAGGTCACAACCTTCGTAGATTCTCTTTGCTTTTTTTAGTACCAGGAAGAGGACCCAGTTTATAACTGGTTTTCAGGAGCTTGCCATTTGAGCAGTCTTCAGTGCTATGATAATCACATAGACACTTTGTACAATAATCAAATCTGCAACCTTCTCGTTCACAGGTCGCACGCTGTAAATAGCAATCAAATTTTGCTGGTGATTTACAGCGAATGCATGCTTTGAGGCTTTCATTCTTTTTCAAAGTCTTAGCAACCTAGAAAACAAAGAACCCATAGACAAATATTAGAAAGGACAATTTATTAGTAAAACCAAGAAGGATACTTCTGTGCTTATGTCAGTTCTGCCCAAGGAGCCTACCGTTCAGTAGGCAAGAGATGGCATCACTTGTCAAGGGGGCTAATGGCCACTGCTACTCTTAGACACGCTTTTTATCCCACGAACGCTATTTACAAATCCAACCCCTGACTTAAATGCCACCCTTTTCTGTAAGGTCTTCCTGGTGTCTGTCATTTAAGAATGGCTTGCTTTCACCATTACTTCTCTTTTTATAAGCCACCTATGACAATATAAGGTAGGTTGTCGCTTTTTCCTGTAGCAGTCTTTCATTTCACTTCAAAACACAGGCTCTACAATGAGATTACCGTTTTCTAATTTAAATCTACAAGATTATCCATGTGTGAGCAGAACTTTTAGTAGAGACGAGCCAATAATGTGAAGATACTGTAGAATGCTTTGACTACTAAAAGCTGGACATTTTCTGCTTAGCTCATCCTTTACTTACAAAATGCAGCAATTGCAAAATGTAGTGCGGGGAATTTTAAAGAAACTTTCAAGTCATTTTTTTTGGGAAAAATGAAAGGGATAGAAGATGTCCATTAATGACCCCTTAAATTCTTATTTTACTCCAATTACAGTTAAATGAATACCAGTATCAGATGTCATAATCTGGTATGGAATATAATAGTTATTACCCACAGCCAAGTTATATTTTTACCTTGAAAGTTTCCTATTTCTCTTTTTAAGCCCCTTTAACACTAAATGCTGATGTTTCTGATTTAGTAATTGAGCAACATTACCTCAGAGAATTCGCTGTGTCGACTGTAAGTGGAACCTTTCTGATCATCTTTCTTGGATACCTTGGCTTGAGCATCTTTTTTGGGCAAAGCCTGGGATACTGATTTCTGAACAGAAGCTAATGCAGTTCTGATCATAACGTATTCTCTGGTTGAAGCATGTGGTGAAGACTTAATGCTCTTTTCCTAATTAAAAAACATTTAAAAGGAATTATGACACTTTCTTATACAAAGCCAGTCACTTTTAGTTTCTACACATATAAGAAAGGTTTAACTTACCTGTACATGCTTACATACAGCTACACGTTAACTATTCAGACACAGAAAGTCTAATTTGTTGACAGAAAGTATGAACCAGACTGAGAAATCATTTTACATACATAGTCTATATGGTATTTATTTATAGGACAATGTCTTGTTATATAGTTCAGGCAGGCCTCGAACTCCCAGCAATCCTCCTGCCTTAGCCTCGAGTGCTGGGGTTATAGGCATGCACTACCATGCTGGGCTCTTTATCATAATTTGTAAGTGAACAAAGTTGAAGTACTGTCAACAAAACAAATGGTCATTCTACCCACTACCAGAAGATGGCAGTATCCATGTTCAAGTGTCCTCTCACGTTTAAGAGCAGATTTAAAATTATTTAGATTAGATTTTCCATCATCAGTTTAACTATGAACAAATTGAACTTGGGCACTTTAAGTAATTTACTTTTAATTTAAAGTTACACTTCAGGTTAAGTAGCAGTCTATTCAACTCTAAGACCTGAATTTTTAGTAATGTATATAGACCTTGATTCCTACAGTTACCAAGTATTTTAGACAAAAAAATACATTTTCCGTTCTACAGTAAGAATTTGTTTTTGTTTTTGCTTTTTTTGTCTTTTTTTGAGACAGGGTGTCGCTCTGCAGGTCAGGCTGGCTTTGAGCTCACTTTATAGCCCACACTGGTCTCGAACTCCCAACCATCCTCCTGCCTCAGCCTCCCGAGTGTTGAGATTACAGGCGTGTGCCACCATGCCTGGCCTACAGTAAGAATTTAGTATGTTGCAAATTTACTGTTTTTCTGGTAACTAATCAAAACAAGAATTTCTTTTACAGCCCAATTTCTTAACCACTGTACAAATAAAATACTATACAAATTTTATACAAATAAAACAAATTTCCAAAGGCTATAAAACACACACACACACAAAGTGGATGGCAGCTACCATCCACTAGATGGTCAACTCTCATTATCTGAGAACTGAGTAATTCCCCTCTTATTATTTTGGACATTCTATTTCAATTTGGACATTCTAATTCCTCCCTTATTGCCTTGAACATTCTACTAGAACCGGACAAAAACGACCAAGATGGGATTCTTTGCTCTTTATTTTTGAAGCTGGCTTCTTACTGAGTTCTACTGAAAGGCTAGAATGCTTTGTGAATTTAAAGAACGGTTTCTAGATTACTTTTTTCTACTTCCTTATTTCAAAAGATAAAGAGTAACAGCAATGCATCTTAAAACAAAAACACCACCTACAAAGACTTACAGTAACTCTTTGCATTGCTTTTTTGTACAAGTGGGAGGCCCCTTTGTCATCTTCTAGAATCTTCTTCCAAGTAGTGCTCACTTTAGACACACTGGAAAATAATGATCATAAAAGAAACAATTAAAGCATGACAAAGATGCTAGGATGAAGACAGTACAAAAATATTACTGGCACAAAACTGAAATACATATTAGCAGTGCTTCTCAAATTTGACTGTACATTAGGATTGCTTGGGGCACTTAACATTTAAGGGTGCCCACACCTAACCATTTGGGTTTTACTGGCGGAAAATGGGGCAAAGGATTCTATTTTTAAAAGGTCCCCATCAAATAATTCTAGGTTAAAAACTATTTTGGAGCCAGGGATATAGCTCAGCAGAACAAGTGCCTGCCTAGCAAGTGCAAGGTCCTGAGTTCGATTCCCGGTACCAAAAAGAAAAAAAAAAAAAGAACCAAGAACTACTATTTTGTGTTACTTTTTTTTTTTGGTACTGGGAATCGAACTCAGGACCTTGCACTTGCCAGGCAGGCACTTATGCCATTGAGTTATATCCCCGGCCCTCTGTGTTACTTTTTTAAACAATATTTGTGAAAACCAAATAGCCAGCATTCTGTATATGACACTATGCTAAATGTCTGCTAAAAGGTATATATGTCAAAGTACTCTGGGATACATTGCTACTAGTAGAAGTCAATTTTTAAGTTATTAACATTAAAAAGGTACAATCTGTGATAGTTATTATCCTTTAAGGAGCTAGTCAGTCAATAAGAAGTATCAATACTTATGTGTTTCACTTTACCTCTATTTTATAGACTACAGTAAAGCCACACTTGCCAAGTATTTCTAATTTTTCCAAAATCCCAAAAGAGAGCTGAATCCAATCTAATGCAACAGCCTGTATAATCATCTTATTTCTCAAAGCCACACCATCCTAATGGATTTTCCTTGGGGTAGAGGAATAGGTAATTAATACTTTTTTTTTTTTTTTTTTTT